GTGGGAGCCCGAGCTGCGGGGTCGCACCAGCCGGTAGCGCGGAGCAGGCTGCGGCCTGAGGCGGCGCCTGGGAGCTGGTCCCGAGAGCCCGGCTGTGCCCCCCTCCCCGCCCCCCAGACGCGCGCGGGAGGGGAGCCCCCTGCCCCCGCCGCGGGCCTGCCCTTCGCGCGTTAGATTGCCTTGAAGGGAGGTGCGTCTGTGGGTCTGTCGCTGTGCTTTTGCGGTCTCCGGGAAGGACGCCTGGGTGCCCTTCTCGGGCTCCTCTGTGGAAGCCCCGGAGAGCGGGGCCCAGGCGGGCGACGGGGTCCTGGGACCGTCCCCACGGCGCACTGTGAGCACCTGAGTTTTGAATGTTTATACGCCCGTATTTCTAGACAAGCCATCTTTCCCTTCCGAGATGACATTTTGGATGTTTGCCTCAAAGCGCGCGCCTGTGCCTTCGGGCTGTGCGCGAAGCCGTCGGTGCGATGGGCGCCGCTGTGCTCTGACTGGAGCGCCAACAGGAAGTTAAGCTCGGGGGTGAGACGACCGTGCGCACACTGCGCAGCGCGCTCCGCAGGCGCCCGCGGCAGGCGCCCCTGACCTTGGGCTTCCCAGGCCGCGGCTGCCGGGTGCAGGCGGGCACGAACCGCTCCACAGGGAGCTCTTTCTCCAGCTGGGAGTTTAAAACGTGCTGCTAAGTGAAAATGACTTGAAATTCAAGGGTGAAAAGTGACATTTGGGTTTGAGTCTTGACATTTTCCCGCATAGCTGGTGAGTCCTAGTTTTTGCTTCGCAATTCGAAGACGGATTTATTATTTTTCTTCTACAGTATAGGAAGTAAATTATTGATACCATAAAATGTTGACACACGCCACATAGGTGAATTTTAAAGAGAAGAGAGTAGCAGAAATATATAACAGAGACGTTTAAATACTTTCAGTTCATGGCCAGGTAATTAAATAAGTATGCTTGTAATTTAAGATTTCTTCCTTCACCAGCAACGTAAGTTGTAAATCGGACACATTTCTTCCTGTCCCGGGTGTGGTGCAGCCAGCTAAAGGCAGGCACTTTGAACCTCAGGTCCTCAGGGTAGCCCTCTCTAAATTTTAATACCAAGGAAGATAGGAGCCAGAAGGGAGCAAAGAAGCCCAGTGGAAGCCCAGCTCCAACAAGTACATGCTTGTTTGTTGTTTTTTTAAAATCCTCAACTGAGAATATTTTTTCCATTGCTTTTCAGAGAGTGGGAGGGGAAGAGAGGGAGGAAAACAAACATGGACGTGTCTTGAGAGAGGCACATCCATGGGTTGCCTCCCGCAGGGGCCCCCAGAACCCCCCAGGACCCTTCAGTCTGCAGGCTGATGCTCTAACCACTGGGCATCAGGCCCAACAGGTAAATCTGTTTGGGATTTACTTGCTTGGTTTCCTGTCCAGGATGTGAAGTGACATTTTCTAGGTTGCATGTGAACCATGGTGACATACACGGCGGGGCAAAAGTAGGTTTACAGTTGTTTGTATGGAAAAAGAATACAATAATTAATAAATAATAATATAAGAATAAACGTACTTTTGGCCTGCCCTGTATGTCTGGAAAGTGGAACATTTTTATCTTTCCCTCTGGGCTCAAGAATTCGAAGAGTCTTTGTGCATCTGAGTGTTTTAAATGTCCTGAGAAGTTTTGTAGGTTAGGGTCTGTTTAGCTTGTCTTAATTCTGCACTTCTCAAACTTATTTCACCATAAAACCCATTGTAATTAGAACATCTTTAATCATCTTGCAGAAGATTAGTATTCTGCAGAACACAGTTTGGGAAATATTGTGCTAAAATATTATTTAAATACATGAAAATTTCCTATAAAATAAGTAAAGGATTTCTTATCTGCATCCATCCACAAGACAGAAATTATACTGACATTAAACATTTTCAAAGAATATCTAATGCCAAGGGAAAACTGCTCACAGTATGTTAACTGAAAACAAAAGGATATAGAACTATACTGAAATGCTCCAATTTTTTTTAAAGAGATTTGACACAAAAGGTAGGACAGAAAACAAAGATAGTGGTAGGTAGCTCCACCCAAGAAGGCCTGGGCCTTGAAAAAAGATGCTTTTAAAGTAATACGTGAAACAATAAGACCATAAAGGAAAGCTGCATGTGTGACAGAGGAAGGAGGCCTCAACTGCTTTGTTTCTGTCTTCTTTATTAAGGACTGAACAGGGGGAAAAAAATCACGTTTAGAAAGAGGAGCTGGAAGGCAGGGTAGGTGAAGAGCTTCTTTCTATGAGCCCGGCCTCAGCTTAGTGTTAGGAAGAACCGACACAGCTGTGTTCAAAGATGCCATCAACTTACATGGGGTAGAAGTTATCCAGGAAGCCTAAGTGACTTGGTGATATTTCAGATCCCTTTCGAATTTAGATTCTTTGTTAAAACTGTCTTTATTTGAAGCCTTTATAAGAAACCTAGAGTTACCTTAACCCAGTGTGGCAGGGTGGAAAGAAACTTTGGAGTCAGTTTGATTCTGTACACTGCCCTTATTAACTGCATGAGTTTGGACAAAATATTTAATTTCTCTGACATCATTTCCTCAGCTACCAGGCCTGCTACATACAGAGGTCAGTTCTCCTTTTGTGCCACTTCCAAGTTAGTGTCTGCCCACCCTAGGTGGGTGCTTCTCTGGCCCTAGTTCTCTCAAACAGCAATTTTATTCTCTCCGCTTCCTTACTTCTGTTCCTCTCCTTTTTCTCTGTTCTTAATTCTGTCTCCTTTTCTTCCCTGCCTAACTCTATACACACATTCTATCTTTGATAGAAGTGTAATTTTTTTGGGGAGGGAGCATTCCTGGGATAATTTATGTGTGATGAAGGGTAATAATAATGCATTTATTTCTCAAAAGCTCCAGAACCTATTGGCCGTCTTCAGGAACATTATAATAATCTATGTATACAAAATTCCCAGAGAATTAATTCTTTTATATTGCATAGACTCCAAGGAGTGGATGAAGAAATTGAAAAGGGGTAAGGAATACAAATACTTGATTATATCAGTAGTATTCCCTGATACTCATCTGTGTGAACATCCTGGAATACTGAGTGATTTCAAAGCCATTTGCAAATGCTTGGGAAAATGGACATATCTTTTGATTCGGAGAAGCAGTCGATTGACATTGTTAGTAGGTCTTGGAGTAGTGGAGTATACTGGGAAGAGCACTAGATCAGCAGTCTCCAAGTCTGGGCTCCAGATTTCCTTGTCTTCTGGGAGCTGGGTTTATTTATACAAATTATTGACATCTTCAGTGTCATTATCTTTCAGGTGGGGATACTTTTGTGTGTGAGAGAGAGAAATTAGATTATATAGTATATATTAAAGTGCTTAGCAAAATTTGTGGAATATTACTAGTTTTTAAGTTTCTTGGTGTAAATCTGTATTGCAGTACATATTTGGTTTGCATAAATACTGTCCATGATTTTACTATTTACACATGAAGAAAAAAATCCTTTTATTTCTTTACCCAGTTTCTTATTTGTATTGTAACAGATTGAAAGGAATCACATTAAACATTCCTGGTAACAACTGCTCAGTGCCAGTGGAAAGAGTAACAAGTGAAGATTTTTGGATTCTTTCCAAGATTTTACAGAAGAATACATATATTAATGGTATGTCTCTTTAAGAATCATTACTCCTGCTTCTATTTTCCTGATTTTAAGTATTCATTATAAGGAATATCAGCTTCTATTTATCTGTGTCCTTCAGGTTTGGATGTTAGATATAACCTCATAAGTGATTTCGGTGCACAATATGCTGCAAAACTGCTTCAGGTATTATTTTACTTCAAAAGGATTTGTCTTTTTTTTCTTCCAGAGGCCAGTTAAGAATCAGCCCTTTCTTTGGAATGTGCTGGGTTTGAGCATGCTATCCCTGCTAAGTTAACCCTTTATTGCAGATTCACTGTGGAGACGCCCAAACTGCAATCCTGCATTAAGGTTGCATTTTATTTAAGAATTTAAGAAAGACAGTGTGGTCCACTAATTAGAGACAGAGTACTTAAAACAAAAAGGCCTTGTTTCAACCTTAGAAAAGAGATCAGCAAATGTATGTTTGTATTTTCAGTTAAAATAAAATAAGCGGCGTATATCATTTTTTTGATCCCTCCCTAACATTGGCTTTTTCATTTTGTAATTACTTGTCCCAACCTCATCTTCTAAAAATGCTTTTAATGAGTTTGAAATTATCATAAAATTCTCATATCCATTAAATGGGGCACAATGTAAGTGTGGAGGTGAAGATTAAAAAATGAAGAAACCATGTGATTCTCAGGAATCACAAATAAAAATGCTGCAAAATCTTCAAAATTAGCTCTGTTTACAGTGAAACCACTAAGTCTAATGGCACACACACAAGCACTAGTTTTGCAAAATGTCAAGTGCTGACTATGATATATTTACATTTGAAATATATTGAAAGCCTGTTTGTGCATTTTGGTCTCAGTAGAGCTGGTAACTAGAGCTGCTGAGTCATGTTTTACAAACTTCTTGTACACTATGGTTAAATACATAAAGCACATCCATACTTTGAATCATTGGTCAAAACTGAAGATAGTCCTTTTCTTTCATTTATATTGCAACTACATTTGTGTTTAAATGAGAATTGTGATTTTTTTCCCCTTAATTGTAGTTTCTTTTGCTAGACTTTCAGATTTTCTGGTTTATAAAGATTTTATTTGGAGGTAAATACTTTTACTTAAATAAAGTATCTCATATAGTATTGATTGATTTCTAATAATACATGTGTAATAGCTTCTTTTCTCTCCTTATAGAAACAACACAATCTCATTTACTTAAACCTCATGTTTAATGATATTGGGCCCAAAGGTGGAGAACTGATTGCTAAAGCACTACATGTAAGTATTTATATACCTCAAACCTGCATTGTATTTGGGAATTTTAACTTCTGATATCTTGGAATGAACAGAATCAAATGTTAATGTGAATTTATATTATTTTAACATTGTGGGAAAGTATATTTTTATTACACTTCAGTTTATTTAAATGTGAACATTATATGAGTACTTTTGAACTCATTTTTAAAAATAAATAAGCTTAAAATATAATATTTTTTCTGTTGCTTTTTCTGAGAGAGTAGAAGGGAAAGAGACAGAGACAAGAGACAGAGACATCGATGTGAGAGAGACGCATCGATTGGTTGCCTCCCGCATGTGCCCCTACTGGGGCCGGGGATCCAGCCTGCAACCCAGGTATGTGCCCTTGGCTGGAATCGAACCTGGGACCCTTCAGTCCACAGGCTGATGCTCTAACCACTGAGGAAACTGGCCAGGGCAGGTACTGTCTTTTTTATTTTAGCCATCCTAGTGAGTATGAAGAGGTTTTGTGTTTGTTTTGATTTGCACTTCTCTAATAAGTAGGGATGTTGAGCATCTTTACATGTGCTTTTTAGCCATTTGCTTATCTTCTTTGGATAAATGTCTGTTCAAATCCTTTGTCCATTTTAAAATTGGATTACTTGTCCTTTTGAGTCATAAGAGTTCTTTAAATATTCTGGATACAAGTCCTTTACCAAATACATATTTTGCAAATATTTTCTCATTCTGTAAGTTGCCTTTTCACATCCTTAATGGTGTCCTTTGAAGCACAAAATTTTTAAATTTTGATAAAGTTCAGTTTATTTTTTTCTCTTGTTGTTTGTGCTTTTGGTGTTATATCTAAGAAGGCTTTGCCTAACCCCGTCATGAAGTTTCACACTTATTCAAACAGCTTTATGTTCTAGCTTTTTCATGTAATTCTTTGTTCCATTTTGAGTTAATTTTTGTGCATGATTGATTGATTGATTGATTGATTAAATATATCTTTATTGATTTCAGAGAGAGGAAAAGAGAGGGAGAGAGAGAGAAACATCAATGATGAGAGAGTCATTGATTGAGCCCGGAACCCGGGCATGTGCCCTGACTGGGAATCGAACCCCGATGGCTGAGATCCTAGGTCGACGCTCAGCTGCTGAGCCACGTCCAGCTGGGCTTGTGTATGATTTAAGCTAGAAGTCTAACTTCATTCTTTGCCTGCAAATATGTCCAGTTGTCCCAATGCCATTTGTTAAGACTATTCTTCCCCCATTGAATTTTCTTGACACCCTTGTTGAAAATCAGTGAGGTTTATTTCTATATTCTCCATTCTGTTCTTTTAATATATACTCCTATCCTTTTGTCAGTCCTGCACTATCATGACTGCTGTAGTAATGTAGCAAGTTTTGAAGTCAGGAGTTCTTTTTTCAAGATCATGCTGGCTCTTCTAGGTCCTTTGCATTTCTATATGAATTTTAAGATCAGTTTATCAATTTCTGCAAGAAAAGCAGCTGGGATTTTGAGAGAAATTGCTTTAAATCTTTAGATCAGTTTGGGGAGCGTTGCCATCGTAATGATAGTAAGTCTCCTGATTCATGAATATGGGATGTTTCCATTTATTTAGGTCTTTAATTTCTTTCAGTGATGCTTTGTAGTTTCCAGTGTGCAAGTCTTGCCCTTCTTTTGTTGAATTTATTCCTAATGTTTTATTCTTTTTGATGCTATTGTAAATAGGATTTTCTTAATTTCATTTTTGGATTGTTCATTGCTCATGTATAGAAATACAATTGATTTTTATATATTAATCTTTATTAATTTTGTGTCTTGCAGTCTTGCTGAACTTGTTTATTCTAACAGATTTTTTCTTTTTTTTGTGCATTTCTTAGGATTTTCTACATATAAGATCATGTCATATGCAAACAGAGATAGTTTTACTTCTTTTCCAATTTGGATGCCTTTTTTTTTTTTTTTGCCTAACGGCCCTGTCTAGAACTTTGAGTACAGTGTTGAGCCTGAAACCCGCACATGTGCACTGACCAGGAATTGAACTGTGACCTCCTGGTTCATTGGTTGACACTCAACCTCTAAGCCATGCCAATTGGGTTGAATTGTACACTTTTAAATGGTTAATTAAGTAGTACAATTTTCTTAGAAGATAAATTTATAGATTTTTCAATGAAATGAAAGTTTATTAAAAGTCTGTTTCATTTAGGGGTCATTGTCAGGGATCTGTTTCCTGGGCATTCTTTCTGCTGACCTATTAAAAACTAGATTTTTATCTATTATGGGAAATTGAATGTTACCTTTAAGGACTAGATCCTATTCTATCTCCATGAAAAATTAATGAGTCTACAAATAGTATTATAGTTGCCTAACTCATATAATCTGAAGAGAATTCTGTGGATTAAAAACTTAACCAAGGTTTGACTGTTTTCCTTTTCAGAAGAATACAACTCTGAAATACCTAAGAATGACTGGAAACAAGGTTGAAAATAAAGGTGGAATGCTTTTTGCTGCATTGCTACAAATTAATTCATCCTTAGAGAAGTTAGATCTGGGTGACTGTGATCTGGTGAGTAAATTGGTTATGAGAAAATCACCCAAGTAATGGATCATTTTCCCTGGAAATCAGCATAGAGACCAGCTAAGTGACAGTATATGAATGATTAGGCTTGCCCCTAATGTCTAATATCAGAGAAAAAGGCTTTTTTCTTTTACCTAGACATAATAGTGCTTACTTAATAAATAATATTATAGCAGAATTCCCAGTATAATAAAAATCTTCCATCTTCCTAAACTTCCATCCATAACCCTTCTTAACCTGTATGGGATGTTAAAAGAAAAAGATTGTGTTTATTTTAATTAAACAAATATTATTTTTATTAGTTTAATATAAATTTTTTACTTTTGAAAACATTTTGAAGTGAGTATATTGTAGCCTAAGACTTAAAATGATGCTAAAAGCTGCTCTGTGCCTTCAACTAGCCTGATAATGAGAACTGTGGGGTTTTTTGCATATCTTCAAATTTCAGGCTTCATTTTTTCTTTTTCTTTTTTTAAAATATATATATTTATTTATTTTTAAATATATCTTTATTGATTTCAGAGAGAGGGAAGGAGAGGGAGAGAGATAGAAACATCAGTGATGAGAGAGTTGTCATTGGCTGGCTGCCTCCTGCACGCCCCTGACTGGGTATGGAGCCCACAACCCAGGCACATGCACTGACCAGGAATCAAACCTCGATCTCCTGGGTCCTAGGTCGATGCTCAGTCGCTGAGCCATGCCCAGCCGGGCTCCAGGCTTCATTTTCTCAACATGCTTTCAGACCTTGAGGCCTAATGTTGGGAACCTGTTGTAGAGATTAATGAAAATCATGGGACACAAAAACATTAAGAGGCTCTTTGGGATAATAAGTTCTGGAGCTTTAAAAAGTAGTAGATGCAGCCTGTATGGCTCTGGGAAAGCATTAATTCAACATACATCGTCTACACCTACCAGTCACAGTCCTAAAGTCTAAGTATACAAGAGTGCATCAGATATGGTCTCTGCCCTCATAAAGCCTATGTTTAGTTGGGAAAATATCAATAAACAAATAAAGTGCTATGAAGATGGCCAACTATTCTTGATAGTGGGGAGGAGGTAATTTACATGATAGGATGGCTGCCTAAGACCTGAGGAAGTAATATTTAGGAGTCATGAAGGATGAGAGAAAACTGCCTTGGAGAGGGCCCATGGCAGAACATTCCAGGCAGGGGGTCCAGTGCATAGGCTCTGATAGTGCTTCTTCACATGTGGTGGAGGTAGTATTACTGATACAAATTGAGGTAATATTAATTCTCATGCACATAGTTTGCAGATGCTTTCTATTTATTTCAAGGGATTATGGTTTTATATTCATGGTAGTGATACAGTTTTAAATAAAGTGAAAAAGTGAGTTAATTTAATGGAAAAGTATTAGGTAAATAGTAAAACTGATGTTCAGATATTGCAAAATTGTGAGGGAGGTACATGAATAATGAAATACCAAGTCTGGCAGGTTTTAAGAACTGAAAAGCCAGAGGCTGGATAGAAGAGTTAAAAGAGTGCCTCACAGTGATGGTGGAGAGGTTCATAGAGGCCAGTTTCAACCAAGGTTGTGTGGGTTGTAGGTGTGGGTCATGGGAAGAGGGGATTTTATTATACATGTAAATCATGGAAAGGCCTTAAGTTGAGGGGTGACATGGTCTGATTGGTGCTTTCAAAAGGTCATTCTGGTTTCTCTGTGGGGAATTAGAGGGTGGCGAGAGAAAACCCACTCACTTAGTAAGTTACTGCAGTAGTGCATATGAGTGATGAGGACTGGGGGTAGTAGAGTGGTATCCACAGAGATGGATTAATTTGAGACATCTTTTAGAGGCAGAATCTGTAAGAATTGCTGATTAACTAGATGGAGGGTGAGGACTGGCGGAGTGAGAGGAGGCACAGGTTTTATGTCATAACAGCTGGGGGTGTATGGTGGTATCCATCATTGAAGTGGGGGGGATTAGGCCTATCCAATAAGGTAGAGAGGGAGGCCTGTGGAAGCAGTGAAAATATGGTCAGTAATCCTTTCCTGCCGCACACACGTAAAGTATAAGTATGAATATAAAAGGATGCTAGCACAGGATATGTGTTCTTAGTAGTACAGAGCCGTAGCTGGGACTCACGTGTGTGTTTGTGTGTGGGTGTATCTGAGGTCTGCATCACATAGAACCTTGGGGGCTTAGGAGCAAACCTAGAGGCAAGCACCCTATGAGATGGATATTGAAACTCCCCATGCATATTGTCAATAGATATTAGGGCAGAGAGAAAAGAGCATAACAATTTATTTCTGAATTTGGTCAATCTACAATTCAAGGAGCAGGAAGTGCTTAAACTTTTTAAAACCACAATTTTGATTTGTCAGATTCCAGATTACCAATCTTAAAATATTTATAGGGAGATTAATGTATGTACTTTGTCAGTTTCCTTAATGAATTTATCTGCTTTTAGGGAATGCAAAGCGTGATAGCATTTGCTACAGTCCTAACTCAAAACCAAACAATTAAAGGAATAAACCTAAACCGACCTATACTCTATGGTGAACAGGTACGTATTGAAAGCAGCCGTAGCTAATATTACCACATGTGAATAAAAAGAAGGCACTGCTTACTGAATGTTATGTCAGGGTTCTGAATGCATTGTAAACTACTGTTTACAAAAAAACTTTTAAAGGAAAATTATTAATTCTTGATAAGAGTTTTAAAACTAAATATGGACCAACCGGCATGGCTCAGTGGTTGAGCATCTACCTGTGATCCAGGAGATCATGGTACGATTCCCGGTCAGGGCACATGCCTGGGTTTCAGGCTCGATCCCCAGCAGGGGGGTGCAAGAGGCAGCTGATCAATGACTCTCTCATCATTGATGTTTCTATATCTCTCTCTCCCTCTCCCTTCCTTTCTCTGAAATCAATAAAGATATATTTAAAAAACAAAAACAAAAAACTAAATTATGTTTTAGGTGTTGCTCATTTAGGCAGCAAACGTCATTTTCTTCTCATAAACTCAAATTCTCTGTGAGTAAACCTGTGAGGGGCAAAGTAGTTAGAATGAAAGAATAAAGTATTAAAATTTTAAAGGCTGGATTATAAGCCTGGTGTGAACTGTTTGTCTGTTTTTGTTATATTCTGGTGACTGAACCATTACATCTTTGAAACCATGAGTAAACATGGCAAAATGTTTGTGAATAGCAGTCTGGACTTGATCCATTAGGTAAGCTGCATGCTGGGGCCAGGAAGATGAATTAAAATGTGGTTCCTACTTACAAGACTTCTTGCTTCTTAACATTCTTTTAGGTGGTTTTCCTCTCATCAGTTGGAAAAAGCTAGTGAAAAAGAACTCATTTTATTACTGATCTAAACAAAAACAGACTACTAAAAAAAGTTCAAAGTACTTTATATAGTCTTTAAATGACCTACCTCACTGTTTCCCGTTAGTAAGAATCATTGAGAATTAACCCTATTCTCTTTAAAGTGTTTTTCATATTCATAAGTGTTTTGCATTTTTTGCTTACATAGATCTCTCCCTTTGAATCATTTCTGCACTTTTCTGTATCAGAATTTTTGATACAGAATTTTACATGTTAATTGCTTCATGTACATAAATCTGATCTGTTCAGCAAGACATCCAGAATCCTCAAATACAAGCATCCTTCTCTAAAGACGAGCAAAACACCTGGCTCAGAGGAAGCACTCAGCAAATTGCTTTACTCGGGATTCACTCAATAAACATTTGAAAGCAACCCTAAACTAGACACAGTGCTGGGTGCTAGAGATAAGGTCAAACATCTACATAGCCCTTGTCTTCAAGGAGCTTTCCGTCTACATGGAGTGAGATCAACAAATTTGGAGGGTGATATGCTCAGGATGTCTTGGGAGCATAAGGCAGGACACGGGGACAGGTGGCTGGGAAGGTTCTCAGATTGAGGACATGACAGATCTGAAGGCTAGACATTTTCTGGATTAAAGGCTCAAAGGAAATAAATGTTAAACTATATGAAATCACATTATGTTGAGTGGCCTCATTATTCCCAAGTCCACCCCAGAATAGTTACTAAACTCCCACAGCTCTTTCTCAGGCGCAGGCCCTTGCTCTCAGTCTGGAGCTTCTGGGCAGTCAGCTAAACTCTGCTTTTTCTTCCTCTCGATCACTGAGTGCTACTCTCCTGTTAAATGACTTGTGGTTCCTCATACTTTGCAGTTCCGAAATGTAAACCTGCAAACTTACTCCATTTAACGGTTTACTGTTCATTATCTGGGAGCTTGGAAAAATATCAATGCCAGGTGCCCCGCTAGGCAAATTAAGTCACAAACTCAGTAAATGGAGCTAAAAAAAAACATTTTTCTGACACTAGTTCTCTCTTTCAAATTTTTTGACCTAAAAATGCAATCAAGGTGTACAACACAAATATGTTTTGAGTATGTACTCCATTTCAGGCAGCACACAGACCCAATACTGGACTCCCTAGGTCAGGGGTGGGGAACATCCGGCCTGCTGGCTGTCTACAGCCTGTGAAATCATTTGGTCTGGCCCTGCCAAGGCAACCGCAGGCGGTACTCAAAATTTAATACATCTAGGAGCTTTTTTCATAGCTAATTTTTAAGTTGATAATTTTGTTTGGCCCATGAATGATGTTACAAATATCCAAATGACCCTTGTCAGAAAAGAGGTTCCCCACTCCTGCCCTAGGTGATCAGTTCGCATTTGTTAAGATCACATATTACAGCCTCATCTTGGGTATATATTTTCATTGTCAAAGCAAAAATCGAAACAAACCAGATACAGGATTATAGAACATTGAACAGTAGTAAATGCTTTGCAATTTTCTGTAGAACTTGTTTTGTGCAGGTACTTTAATTCTGTGTGGAAGTATAATTTCACCTGTTTAACAGAAAAGGAAACAGATTCAGATGAAATAATTTGCCCAGTCATATAGCTAGTAAAAGGTAAAGCTAGCCTTTGGACAGTTTTATTATAAAGCTCATGTACTATTGCTATGTGGTTTCATTTAACTTTTAAAGTTTTTCTTAACGTACTTTTACATAAAACATATATAGTTATTGTGTTTGTGATCAGCATTTCCAGTGACTATAAAATGCACTACAGATAGAATTATGCAAGACGACCAGAAAATACTTTGGCCCATTCATTTTAAGACACATTTTGATTCTGTTAAAAATTTGAAGTGCTTGGTATTCAAATCCTCATTGAGGTTATATACATTTTTCTGGAAGCAGCTATTTTGGAATTTAAAAAAAAGTCATTCAGTGACAAGAAAACAAGAGTAAAACATATTTAGACATTTGGGATGATTATAAAAGGAAGGAATTGGATATATCAATCGGTTAAAATGAGTGTATTTTTAAAATAGAATTGACACTGGGAGATGTCTTTGTATTTTGTCTACTATTAAGAGGAGATCAAGAACAAAGTTTAGGAACATGGAGGGTCAGGAACAGTTTAGAGACTCTTGAGAGGACAGCAGTAAGGGAGCTGATATGCTCAGTATATCATGGGACAAGTTGTTTTGATTTTTTCCTTCTGGAATGATTATTTTTCTTAATGATTATGCTTTTTAAACTACCCTTTTTTACATCATTTAGTCACTGCATTTTACAAGTGCCTGCTGTCTATTTTTGTGACAGTAAAGATATCATTTGTGACAAAGACGGTAAAGACTATCATTTATGGCAAAAATAGATTATCATTTTTAGCATATGTTCGGAATAAATGTGTACTGTTTCAAAATTATACTTTAGAAAAATAATTTTATCTATTTTTTAGGAAGAATCCACAGTTCATCTAGGCCACATGTTAAAGGAAAATTGCTGCCTTGTTGAATTACACATGAGTAAGCATGGTATGAAAAATTGTGGCCTAAAACAGTTATGTGATGCACTGTATCTGAACAAAAGCCTGCGCTACCTTGATGTCAGCTGGTAGGTGATAACTTACATAGTTAAGTAATTCAGAAATTAAGTCATGGGAATCATCGATGTAAATATTAGGATATTTTGTTAGGCATTAATCCCAAAGATCAGAAAACATAACCACTGTTTTCAACTTTTTATCCTAAGCCTTAGAATTTATTTAGTTTATACTGATATTAATCACCTAATAACCTGAGTGAGCAATTTAATTATGTAAACCAGAATGGAAGCACTATTTTATGGCAAATTTTCATTAACTTTTTTGGAAATTGAATGATTAAAATAAATATATAATGAAATAGAAAGTACTGTTTATTACTGTATAACAGTTTTTAAACATGTTACTCTGAATAAAATACTACTTCATATTTTCAAATATAATTACATATTTTTCCTTTCCCAGCAATAAAATAACTCATGATGGAATGGCGTTTTTGGCTGGTGTACTGAAAAGCAATACTACCCTGGAAGTAATAGATCTTTCTTTTAACAGAATAGAAAATGCAGGAGCAAAGAATCTCAGTGAAACTCTTACTTCACACAACAGGAGTCTTAAAGCGTTAGTATCGTTTTATATTTAATGAAAACAACAGAAAAAAAATGTTATCTCAAACCACTTAACTCTTAAGATGCATAATGAAATATGTAAACTCATTTTTTAAACCGTCATAATATTAGGTTTATAGTAAACATTTAAATTTCTTCTGTTTTTCAGAAGTACTCTTAAAAATTAGTTTGATTCTAGTTAGGATTGCTTAAAATTAATAAGAAAATTCTTACTGCTTACATTATTTATCCTGAATTCTAACAGGAAAATCATAATCATTCACTGTGATCAACTAAAAATGATGAATCAAAGACAATATTACTGCCCTGGCTAGTATGGTTCAGTGGTCAGTGCCAGCCCAAACACCAAAGGGCTCAGGTTCAGTTCCTGATCAAGGGCACGTACCTGGCTGCAGGCTCCATCCCCGGCCCCCGTCGGGGCGTGTACAGGAGGCAGCCAATCAATGTGATTCTCTTACATCGATGTTTCTCTCTCTTCCCCCACCTCCCTTTGTACTCTTTCTTAAAAAAAGAAATCAGTGGAAAAAATCTTCCAGTGAGGATTAACAGAAAAAAAAGAAAATATTACTTGGATGACTTTATCTTGAAAAGTATATCTGTACTCTACCCCCAAACATTTACTGAATAATATAAAACTATTTCCAAAATGTAGGTAAGTCTACTAGGTACATGAAGCATGCAATTAGAAAACTGAGTTTCCTGGATATTAGGAATGACATGGTCAGTATTCTGACTACTACATTAAATGTAGTTAAGAATAATGCTAAGACTTTACACAATAACCTGTTTGTAATAAATGCTGCTAACTTATGCATTCTCTTTTTGTGGAAATATTGGTTTCCAAGGTTATTACTTTTTGTTTTTCCATAGGTTGTCAGTAGTCAGCAACAGCATACAGGGAGAAGGACTTGTTGCACTTTCACAATCAATGAAAACAAATCCCACACTCTGTAATATCTACATTTGGGGAAACAAATTTGATGAGGCTACATGTGTGGTAAGTTTTTTTCTTTACTAAAGGTATTTCCTGGGGTCTTCTCTATGACATCAGACATTATTTATTTATAATTATTTACATTGTTTACCAGTGTATTAGGAATGATTTACAAAGTAGAGTAAGAAACTACAGTTTTGATAAATTTTAACAGTAAGTCCTAAAAATTAGCTACTGGAAAGTTTTTTGATTGAAATAGCAAAATACTATATATGAATATAAAGATCACATACTAGAAGCTAAGTTGAGTTTAGAACTAATAATGACAAGCTAAACCAGAAAGCAACTAGACTTAAATTTTTTATACTCTAAATTTTTGCCTCTCTATAATTGCAACCTTACTGACAAACCAGTTTAACATGTTTGTATGCCACCCTTACACAGATAAGACCCATAAGAGATACGCAAAGTAATTCCTACAACGAAGAAATAATTAGGCAGCCAGCCAGGCCAGCATCTAATACTATGGGGACTTTCTTAGTCCAAATCTGTAGATTAGCTTCAGTGGGTTCATGAAGTCCACATAGTTATATGATAAAATCTGTGCTTGTTTACTTTTTTGAGAAATGGGTCCCTGGCTATCATCAGATCTTCAAGGGCATATACAATAGCACTCTTCCTTCATTTAAGAACCTCTGTGGGATTTGAAAATTTTGACCATGGGACCTTTCAGTTCACAAAACTGGTATACAGAGAATTGTGAACTCTGGAAGTCATTAAAAAAAAAAAAAAGTGTCTAATATATTAAAAATAAGTTTTACAAAACTTTAATTTCATTGTGTGAAATTAAATGAATAAAGACCTAACCATGTACCTGGAAAATATTAAAATTCAGCAATGTTATTCAGAATATTTTAGCCCGGCCGGGCGTGGCTCAGCGGTTGAGCGTCGACCTAGGATCCAGGAGATCGGGGTTTGATTCCTGGTCAGGGCACATGCCTGGGTTGCAGGCTCGATCAATGACTCTCTCATCATTGATGTTTCTATCTCTGTCTCTCCCTCTCCTTTCCTCTCTCTGAAATCAATAAAGATATATTTAAAAACAAAAACCAGAATATTTTATTATAAACTGCAAATTAGCAGTTAATTTGTTTAAGCATTGCAAAATGAAAAAACTATTTTATTAATGATACACTTTTTTTTTTTCTTAAAAATCTTAGGCTTATACAGACTTAATTCAAATGGGCCGTCTAAAACCAGACAATACAGATGTGGAGCCATTTGTGGTAGACGGACATGTGTATCTTGCAGAAGTCTCCAATGGCCTTAAAAAGCACTATTACTGGACACCAACTTGTGGAGAAGCTTGCAACAACACATCTAATGCAGGTTATAGTCTTGTACCAGTAGGTGAACAGCTATGAAAAACAGCTCTAAAATAATTTTCACACATTTGTCTTTCTACGTTCAGAGATTAATATTTTATTGCCTATTTCTTTCATAAATTAGAACAAAGTATTTTTGTCAAATATGTAAAAGATGACTACGTTAAACTTCGTATACCTATCTATTATGAAAACTGAGAAGAGTAATTTTAAAAAGAAATTTTACAAAATAGAGACTAAAATTTTTACACCCTGGAAAATCAAGGAACTATTTTTATAAAGAAAACATAACCAAGTAGTAAAGTAGCATTTAAGGAAAGGTCATTATAGGCATGCTAACTGAAAGTTGTCATGAAGTGGTAAAAAGGTTTCAGGTGGCAGATTCTCAGGGAATTCCAAGGGGTTTAGGGGTTGAAAAAGTATTTTATATGTCTTGTTTAGGTATTACAGATGGGTACTGATACAGTCACACAAATACAGGCAAACATATATAAACATATATAAATACATATAAAAGTGTACTTTCCAAACAAGCCAGTGCTGCCAGTGAGCTTTTTAAGATAGCTCTCTCTTTTGGAGGATGCCAGTAACATTTTAATGATTTGATGGTGAATAATGACCGTTGCCTGTAGCCAATCTTGTTTTCAAATTAAGATTCCTAGAAAGAAACAGTTGACACTGATCCTTTGATTAGAGACCTATACTCACAAATCATACATAGCAAGAAGAGGCTGTTTAATCTGAATGGTTTCTTACTGCTCAAGCCAGGCAAAGTGTGAAAAAAGTATGTGAACAGTTTTTAAAAGGTACTTTAAGCTGAGGTTCTACAGTCTAAAAGAAAATAACAACCTACTTCTAAATCTTGAGAAAGGAGGTGGAATATAAAGGTGGTGGTCAACTTTACAGTTGTCAAAGTATTGAGGTTCACTTAAAGTACTGGGGATTCCTCAAATCATAGCTGTATTCTAAACATTTAACATTAAAACATATCTGCCATTGTCCATTCCTTTAGTAGATTAAACCATGAAGATAAATACCCCTACTCACTATTTCACTATTTTTAAAGTTTAACAGGTCTTTCCTTATATTCAGCACCTAATACCACCTTTCCATACCCCCTGGGAAGGAGGGGCAGCAGAGGGGGCAAAGATGGTGGTGGTGGTTATAAAATGGGAAGAACATTTGAACTGTATCAGGCATTATTTTCATTTAGTGTTATAGAGTCACTGAGTCAGAAAGACCTAAATGCCTTAACAAATTCATTCTGATGCTTTCAGAGAGATGAATTTGAATCATCCAGGACAGATGGTTGCTATCAGGTTGAGTCTATGCTGAAAAAAAATCTTAAAACATCTGGAATTAGTTGAAAAATACACAGTAGTTCATGTTAGTAACAAAATGTGTGAAGTGGATTTCAAGGTATTTTTTTAAAGATAGTGTTTGTATGTTATATTAAAGAAAACTACCGTATCTGGTCATGGAATTTTAGATATAATATGACCTTCCATTGATGCAAAAACATTTGTTGAAAATTTGCTGTCAACAAATGTTTACAATGGAATAAATAAAACTGTACAGACCACAGAATATATCTTAACACTTATACTGATTTTACTAATTACTGATTTTACTCAGTTATTAAGTTTTATAAAACCTTACGTGGCAATGTTCTTCTCTACATGTTTCAAATCTTTCCATTTTAAGATCTCTCCTCTGTAGTTATAAAGACTAGTTGGTTTTTTGCAAAATTCTTATTCCTTTCTTACATGCTGAATATATCTAGAACTAAATATTTGTATCTAAAAAGCTGTATGTCCCAGGAAAGTCAGTGTCTCTGTAATAATTAAAAATGCAGTAGGAAATGAATAAAATTTGTTTTTTAATCAAATTTGAAAAAACTGCAGAATTCAATGGATGCAATACAACCATGTTATAGGAAAAAATATAAACATTTTCAACTCTCATTACATTTGGAAAACATTAACGTGGTGAGGAATTACTACTACTAGTAATTAAAGATCCAGTAAACTCAAGCTTAAATGACAATTAATATGACAAGCTTTTTACACTTGAATGTCTGCCCAGAGAGTTAGCATAGTGTGTCAAACTGCAGATATGAAATCAGCATTTCTTTAAAGTGTGGGGCATCAGAATCACCTGGGGCAAATGTTTAAAATACAGACTCTTAGGGTCAGACCTGCTGAATCAAAGTTTCTAGGCAGTCTGTGGAATCTGCATTTTTACAATCCAGGTCACCTTTCACCTCATTAAAGTTTATTGATTGATTTAACTTTTTAAAAATTTTAAATATATCTTTATTGATTTCAGAGAGAGGAAGGGAGAGGGGGAGAGAGAGAGAGATAGAAACATCAATGATGAGAGAATCATTGATCGGCTGCCTCCTGCATGCCTCCGACTGGGGATCGAGCCCGCAACCTGGGCATGTGCCCTGACCAGGAACTGAACCACGATCTCCTGGATCCTAGGTCGTTGCTCAACCGCTGAGCCATGCCTGGCAGGGCCATCTCATTAAAGTTTAAAAACCAATGCTCTGGTTTTCTCATTCCTCAAAATTAAAAAAAAAAAAAA